AAAAAAATAACGTTCTTCTTCTAGGAACCACACGTATTATGGAAAATAGCTAATTTTATAGAAAATGGTAGGTTTCTTTGGACTACATCGATTTTTTCGAAGAGCAATCCAATAGTCGTATGGCTGAAAAAGACAACAAACCGACAACATGCATAAATTCGTGTATGATAGTGGCATAGTCCATACATTCATCCGCCAATGATATCTGCTGTCTACCACCAACACGTGCAAAATCCGCATAACATCTGAACAACAATCGATTGCAAAGGAAGGATAGAAACTACTGAGGTCTCACCCGTCAAGCTTAGATATCACAACATAATCACGGTCATTTTGGGATTTCGGTACAAATCTTATGCACGTTTTAGCTTGATATCCAGCAATTGCTCGTGCAATCACAGCTCTTTGATTGTCGCCTAAAAGCAGGTATTACCACACACCATGTAGCACAAATTAGCCATTAAGTTTGAAGAACTTGCTGTAAGCTGCTGAGAGAACGTAAGGAATTCTCCCATTCGGCCATTTGTCGTCTTGCGATAAGACTGCAACACCACCTCCACGCTTAGTTCTCTACAACTACAAGGGCTAAGATACAGTATTGTCACAAATTTTTTTAAACTTCCTCTAGGAGATAACGACTCGTTTCAACTCTTTGTATTCATTTGATCAATGCTGCTAGAGTGCTTTCTTCGAAGATAACTTCAAAACTATTCTTATAATGTTTCTTTGATGTCAGGTGGCATTTATATTAGTAATGAGATTGGGAAAATCACTAGCGGTTAATGCGTGCCTAACTTCAAAATTTCTTATCAAGCGCTGAGTTTATGCCATGCTCGTTGATAAAAGGCCTGCTTGTTAAAATGCTTATCAAAGGATATAATTTTTATTTCAAAAATGCTGCATCATACAGTCCTAAAGACAGATAATCAGCGGTAGCGATAAAACCAAAGGTCGCGGTCTCATTCTAATCAATTCACTCATCTAACACCCACCATAGAAGGCATCATTACGCCACTCTCACACCGCTGGGCTGAGGTGTGCCTCCGACAAAATATCAATGAAGGTAAAGTGATGATATCATCACTGCCCTTTCATTCTACATAAAATTAAAAACTAGTCAACGTTGTTCGTCAGTGAAAACATATGTCACAAAATCAGTAGCTGAAAGCTGCACAACCTAACGCCGATGTGACCTACTAAAGCTGCGAATACCACTAATCTAAATTACGCAGTTCTTCCCATTCCGAGTGCATAAAAAGCGGTCTATAAATAAACAGCAGCAATTAAGTACTCAACACACTGTTCCTTTCCCATTCCAATCAAAGCTAGTAGGTCCCATAAACAGAGTTCAACAGCAGCTAAATTTAAGATCCTGGTGCAGGTTTTGTGAAAAAGCGATCTTTATCAACCGATAACAAATGTCCATACGCGGATACAATTACTCAATCAGAATGCGTCAGACTCCTCTACAGTAGCTTTAAAAAATTAAAATTCCTCCATAGCAATTCGTGATTGAAATAGGCACTGGCACTACGCCTCTTCTTTCCCATGTTATTTTTCTCTTCCTTTCACCTTTTACTAAACCGTACCCCACTTTCCTCTTTATTTGCCAGAATTCTGAAGATCAAAGAAGGTTAAGTTAGTGGCACCTTGAAGACTATTACCTCTATATTGATTACCTAGTTACTCACTTTCCGCCATGAGTAATTTTCCCCGTTTCAAGCTAGAGGGACATCCAAGAATAGCAGTTTCGTGATGCGATAGCGACGCAAGGATTCACAATCAATCCTCATCTTAACGACCTGACTCGCCCATATTCTACACTTCAAGAAG